CCTTATGTAATAGAATACCTTTTACCGTTCATCAAGTGAACGTAGCCCTTTCGTAGCCTATGCCCCTTTATTCTTAAGTGGGGGAATCCCCTGAAAGCCGGTGATCGAGTGAGTTTTTTTCCAAGAAGCCAGTTCTTTAGGGCTTAAATGCACCGCTTGTCGGCTGTGAAAAGTATACCTTTCCTTTCCCACCTGTTTTAGGTGCCTTCTTTAGGCTCTTTCCTAAGGAAGCAAGAGGAAGAGTGAGTGTCGACAGGCAAAGAATGGCTTGAGTGAAAGCTGGAGTGGCACAAGACAGATTGAAAGCAAAGGGAATAGCTCATATGGAAAGAAACATATATAGTCAATAAAATTCTAAAGATAGACGTAATAAGCGATATGATAAAAGATTCAGAATGAATGAATAGAATCTAATAACATCGGGTTCCCATGAAAAAATGGGATTGGGGGAGTAGTTCCCCTCTAGCCAATCCTAAAAGTTCTTCTGCCTTCGATCCCATGGTAAGCCTTTCAAGTTTCCAGCCAGTAGACAAGAAATTTAGTAAGTAATAGAAACGGGAAATCTCAATCAGTACTTCTTTTTTGTAAAGCGAGGTTGAGTTATATGAAACTAAGGCAAGAAGACGAAAAGACGTTCACGTTACCAATTCCATCTCGTCTGATCTTTTATTGGTTTTGTTTTTTCTCTCGTGCCCTTTTGGGCGGTACAAAGAACTGATGTAGGGGTTTCCGCTCCTTAGTTCATCTCTTGGTAGAACAAGGCACCTATGCGGTGGGTTCGGCTCCCACAGGAGCGTACATTTCCAATCGATTTGGTACTTTTCTTGATTCAAAGTTCTTGCTGTCCATTACGGATTCTTTAGCAATGTAAAGCCATCAAGCAGTAGACCAGCAAGGGTTTTTTTCTGTCTCGGTATTCGTTCTTGAATCAGTGACTGAGAGTAAGGGCTAGTGATCCATCTAATCACTAAAGGTGGGGCATCTTTCTTTTCGTAGTAAGCAACTCTATTGAGAATCTAGTTTCTTGATCGAAGTAAAGAAGAATTGTAGTTCCTCTTTAGGTGAGCTACTTCATTCCTATTTTCCTATTATGAACAGGAGAAGGTTGTAATGAACCCAAAATACTTCGCTAAGGTTCAACCGTTTCGCTATGGTTTTCTTCCAATTTCTTCTAAGGAATTCTGATCAATAGAAAAAAATCTAAGCGAAGGCACCTTTCTTTGTATGGAAAAAGGAAGAAGATGCTGCTTCGGCTTCCATTTCTAGCTCCGCTTGAGCTGCTTCGTCTGTTTCTCTTGATGTGGGTGTCGGTCTTTTGAGATCTCTTCTCTCACTTTTGGGGCACAGTTGGTCCTCAATTTGAAAACCGACAAAGGTGACTTCTTCCTTATTCACGCCTTGATGCACCTTTTTTTGTGTTCAATCTCGTCTAAGAACAGTGCATCGATACAACAGAGTTCTTATTCTTACCCATCAAAAGATTGGGAAAGGTCATTCTAGGCTCTTTATCAGATGTCTCATTCCATCCTTTACCTTGTGCCATGCATGATTCCTAGATCGATTGAATGATCAATTCGAACTTTAGGAACATAGTCCCTTTGGCCACACAGGAAAATGTTCATTGTTTTATTTGAAGTAGTGAAACTAATCAAAACCAAGCGAAGCAATAGAGATACAAGTAGTGATTATTATTAAAAGATTGGAATGCTATTAAGCATAACGAGACGCTAGCTCATGTTGGCATCTTTCAACCTTTCGGATAACTTCTCTCCATACTAACCAAGAAGAGCAGGGTGGTTTTACTACTATTAGCGAGTAGTTCCCTCTCCATTTTGCAATAGAAATATAAGATCACTATTTTTACGAGTGGTGAAAGCAAAAGCAATAGTCGCGTACTGGAATCCCAGTAAAGAAGAGTGATTTTCGTCAGAAAGAACAAAAGCTGGAGGAATGCGATCCAAAAAAAACGGAAACATTGCACTTTTTTCGTTTGCATGTAGTTGAAGAGGGAATCCACTACCAAAAGAGAAAGAGTTCAGCTGGCCCAATTTCTTGAAGGGTGAGAAGAAAATAAGAAGTCCCTTGAGCAGTGAGGAGCACAACAATTTGTGCTCTGAGCGATAGAGGTCAGAGGTGCTACTAAAAGGGGGCAATGAGATAACAACTTCAAACAATAGGAGAGAAGTGGTAGCTTCATGTCGGGGCGAACTGAAACATCTTAGCCGTAAAAAACCTTCCCTTTTCAAGTCCTTGCTATCCCTCTCTCTCTACCCAACTATCTATAATGGGGTAGAGAAGCATAAGAAAAGTAGGCGCACGAATATTTATTAATTAAAAGTTTTCAAGACTTCATTCTCTTTTTAGTTTTCACTCTGGGTCCGGTACAGGTTGACGCGGAGGATAGGGATGGGAAAAGAAGCCCTAGCTTTGGGAAAGACCAGATCATAACATGAATTTCAGGGCATACTTAGTAGATGCAGATCTAGGTACTCTTTCTTACCTAGATGGATCTTTGTTGCTTTGCTCAGAAAGTAATCGTTCGTTGTCACGAAAGCACGACGGTTATCTTGGTGTTGCGCGGCGATTTCGCGCGCCAACATGTCCTTCAATCAATAGGGTACACATTTCATCCTTTTTCTTATCTTGACCTTTTTGAACTTATACCTTATTTGAACCTGCTGATCGTGCAGACTCAGCACATGCTCTATGATTGCTGTGCATGTTCTTATTGTTTGCCGGACTGCTTAGCAAAGATATACTATTGGGAGGCAACAATTCATACGAACACATCCTGCTCTGCTGCAGCAATCTAATAATTTAACTTATTCAGGTATTTTCTCTAGTTCAAATGACTCTTTAGTGGTACTTCTTGTTGTATTCACTGAACCAGTTCTCTTTCTTACAAGGGAAGCATGTAGTTCACCTTCTCTTTTCCCCCTTTTATATGTGTTGCAGTGTTGATTCCTTTGGTAATTTGCTGATAATCCTCTGATTTCTCTTCTATATGTCGGTCTACTCAACAGTTACATTCCATCTCCCTTGGATTCGGCCATCTAGATCTTAAGTAGTTATGGGTTCATCAAGATCTTGAAGTGGTGATTGGTTGACCACTGGAGCAATCTGCTTACGTGAGATCATTAATTCGATTATTGTTACCGATTGTTTATTTCTTGCTTTAAGGTTGGTTTGAAAGGTAATATTTGTACTGGATTCCAAATCTTCCATCTTTCTTTCCATGGTACTACTACAATGAAATGTGTTATCATGTGACTCTATGCTACCGTGTGAAGAAATAGTTACAATTTGTTGTCTAGAAGATGGATAACCAGACAAAGATTGAACTGCTAGAAATCTCATCATGGGTGAACTAATTGAATATCACTTGAGGTTCATACGAAGGGAAAAAAAGTAACTTATGGACTAAAAGAAATGATATGGAACAGAAGGACACAATGCTAAGTCAAGAGTTGATACTTCACTAGTAAAAGCTAAAATAGCAAAACGGGTACCCGCTACTGCTGAATTTATCAAACATGGATGTGGATTTTTTTCCTTTGCACCTTACCATTGGAGTTGATTAGATTGATTTATGATCAGATTACCTAGTGTAGTTTCATTTTGAATGCTTTAATAACGTTCGTACTTATGCTAGTATGTAGAAGTAATTGGCTTGTCCTATTGTTCAGAACTTCTACTCACATGCATGCTGTGCAAAGCGCACTAGAGCTATTATTGAAGTTCCATAGCTCTAACCTCCTGTAGACTATTTTATTCAGGATTTAAACATCAAAGTAATGGTATTGTCTCTGAATTTCAGTTACAAGGATATGAATTTAGTGAGCATTTTTTTAGGAATTAATTTAGTTAACTTTCTTTTTGAGGAATGAATTTAGTGAACATTGTCTACCTTTTGAACCATATTAACACATGTTGTGTATTTATTGCCAGCCAGCAAATTTTCCACACTTCAAGTGAAATTTCTTTGTAAATTGGTGGATTAAACTCATCAAGTTTGTCTGATGGCAGCCATACTGGTTTCTCTTGTTGGATCATGTGCCAAAAGATTGCAAGAAATAATTACAGAAGAGGAGGTTCTTATTCTAGGAGTAACTAAAGGTCTTGGAGGCCTGCAACAAACAATGACTCAAATACAATGCTTTTTCAATGATGCTGAAGAAAGGAGGACAGAAGAGTCAGCAGTCAACAATTGGCTTGGTGAGATGAAAGATCCTATGTATTATGCCGATGACATTATGGACTTGGTGAGATTTGAAGGAGGCAAGTTACTAGCTGGACATAATTCCTCATCAACAAAGGCAACTAAATGTGGTGGGATTTCATTTTTCACATGCATTCCAAGTTGTAAGTAGCGTCTTGACATTGCCATAAAAATCAGAGGTTTTAATGGAGAACTTGAGAGGATTTCAGAGTTGGGGGCACGATTTTTAAAGCTCCAGAGTATGCAGCATAAAGCGGAAGCTCCAGTGGTGAAGCAGATGAGAACTTGCCACCTTGTGTAGTCTAATCTTGTGGGAAAGGAAACTTTACATGCTTGCACAAGATTGGTTGAACTGGTGCTTCGACAAAAGGAAAAGAAGGCTTACAAGGTTGGTATTACTGGAACAGGAGGGGTTGGGAAGACTACTCTAGCTCAGATAATATATAATGACACAAAAATAAAAGGAGCATTTAGCTACCGAGCATGGATCTGTGTTTCTCAGGAGTACTCTGAGGTTTCTCTATTGAAAGAAGTTCTTCGAAATTTTGGTGTACATTAAGAGCAAGGTGAAACTGTGGGAGAGCTCAGCAACAAGGTTGCAGAGGCCATTCGAGGAAAAAGTTTCTTCCCTGTGCTAGATGATGTTTGGCAGCCTCAGGTGTGGACCAATCTACTAAGAGTTCCATTACATGCTCCTGCAACAGGAGTAATTCTAGTAACCACTCGACATGATACACTTGCACATGTAATTGGGGTGGAAGATGTGCATCGAGTTGTGTTGATGGCATTAGATGTAGGATGGGAACTGCTTTGGAAGAGTATGAACATTAATCAAGAAAATGATGTGCAAAACCTTAGGCGTATAGGCTTGGAAATTGTGCGTAAATGTGGTGGGCTGCTACATCTTGAGCTAGAGTTGGTTTTCCTCGACGAGGAGAGGGTGATGCAGCAAGTGTAGCGTAAGTATTTCCCTCAGTTTTTGAGAACCAAGGTACCAATCCAGTAGGAGGATCCTCAAAAGTCCCACGCGCCTACACAAACAAACTGAGAACTCACAACCAACGCAATAAAGGGGTTGTCAATCCCTTCACGGCCACTTGCGAAAGTGAGATCTGATAGAGATAGTATGATAAGATAAATATATTTTTGGTATTTTTATAATACAGATGCAAGAAAGTAAAGATGCAAATAAAAGTAGATTGAAAGCAAATATGATAAGAGATAGACCCGGGGGCCATAGGTTTCACTAGAGGCTTCTCTCGAGAGCATAAGTATTACGGTGGGTGAACAAATTACTGCCGAGCAATTGATAGAAAAGCGTATAGTTATGAGATTATCTAGGCACGATCATGTATATAGGCATCACGTCCATAACAAGTAGACCGACTCCTGCCTGCATCTACTACTATTACTCCACACATCGACCGCTATCCAGCATGCATCTAGAGTATTAAGTTCATCAGAACAGAGTAACGCATTAAGCAAGATGACATGATGTAGAGGGATAAACTCATGCAATATGATATAAACCCCATCTTGTTATCCTCGATGGCAACAATACAATACGTGTCTTGCAACTCTTTCTGTCACTGGGTAAGAACACCGCAAGATTGAACCCAAAGCTAAGCACTTCTCCCATGGCAAGAAAGATCAATCTAGTAGGCCAAACCAAACCGATAATTCGAAGAGACTTGCAAAGATAACTCAATCATACATAAAAGAATTCAGAGAAGATTCAATTAATATCCATAGATAAATCTGATCATAAACCCACAATTCATCGGATCTCAACAAACACACCGCAAAAAGAGATTACATCGAATAGATCTCCACAAGAGAGGGGGAGAACATTGTATTGAGATCCAAAAAGAGAGAAGAAGCCATCTAGCTAATAACTATGGACCCGTAGGTCTATGGTAAACTACTCACAACTCATAGGAGGGGCAAGGATGTTGATGTAGAGGCCCTCCGTGGTTGATTCCCCCTCCGGCAGGGTGCCAGCGAAGGCTCCAAGATGGGATCTCGCGGATACAGAATGTTACGGTGGTGGAAATTGTGTTTCGTGGTGCCCCTGGATGTTTTCGGGGTCCGTAGGTATATATAGGAGGAAGAGGTACGTCGGTGGACGCCCGAGGGGCCCACGAGACAAGGGGCGTGCCCTACAGGGGGGCGCCCTCCTATCTCGTGGAGGCTCCGATTGTTTCTTGACTTGCACTCCACGCTCTCCGGATCTTGTTCATTTCAAAAATCACGTTCCCGAAGGTTTCATTCCGTTTGGACTCCGTTTGATATTCCTTTTCTTCGAAATACTGAAATAGGCAAATAAACAGCAATATGGGCTGGGCCTCCGGTTAGTAGGTTAGTCCCAAAAATGATAAAGATGTATAAAATAATGCCCATAAACATCCAAAACAGGTAATATAATAGCATGGAACAAACAAAAAGTATAGATACGTTGGAGACGTATCAAGCATCCCCAAGCTTAATTCCTACTCGTCCTCGAGTAGGTAAATGATAAAAAGAGAATTTTTGATGTGGAATGCTACCTAGCATAAATCTTAATATAATTTTCTTTATTGTGGCAAGAATGTTCAGATCCAAATGATTCAAAATAAAAGTTCATATTGATAAAATAAATAGTAACACTTCAAGCATACTAATCAAAGTAATCATGTCTTCTCAAAATAACATAGCAAAAGAAAGTTCATCCCTACAAAATCATATAGTTAGGCTATGCTTCATTTTCGTCACACAAAGATGTTCCCAACTTCTATACCCCCGATGACAAGCCAAGCAATTGTGTCATACAATAATCTCAAACTTTTTCAACCTTCACGCAATACATGAGCGTGAGCCATGGATATAGCACTATGCGTGGAATAGAATATGATGATGGGGATTGTGTGGAGAAGACAAAAAGGAGAGAGTCTCACATTGACGAGGATAATCAACGGGCTATGGAGATGCCCATTAATTGATGTCAACATGAGGATTAGGGATTGCCATGCAATGGATGCACTAGAGCTATAAATGAATGCTCAACAAAAGAAAACTAGTGGGTGTGCATCCAACTTGCTTGCTCACGAAGACCTAGGGCATTTGAGGAAGCCCAACGTAGGAATAAACAAGCCAAGTTCTATAATGAAAAATTCCCACTAGTATGAAAAAGATAACTTATGAGACTCACTATATGAAAAACATGGTGCTACTTTGAAGCACAATATATGAGACTCACTACATGAAGAACAAGGTGCTACTTTGAAGCACAAGTGTGGAAAAAGAGATAGTAGCATTGCCCTTTTTTTTCTTTTTCTTCTTTTTGGGCCTTTTTTTGGCCTTTATTCTTTTTTTTCTTTGGGCAATGCTCTAAAAATGATGATCATCACACTTCTATTGATTACAACATATGAATTACAACTCGAAACTAGAACAAGATATGACTCTATATGAATGCCTCCGGCGGTGTGCCGGGATGGTGCAATGAATCAAGAGTGACATGTATGAAAAATAATTCATGGTGGCTTTGCCACAAATATGATGTCAACTACATGATCATGCAATGGCAATATGACAAAAGTAATGTATGTCATGATGATGATAAACGGAATGGTGGAAAGTTGCATGGCAATATATCTCGGAATGGCTATGGAAACACCATAAATAGGTAGCTATGGTGGCTGTTTTGAGGAAGATATAAGGAGGTTTATGTGTGATAGAGCGTATCGTATCACGGGGTTTGGATGCACCGGCGAAGTTTGCACTAACTCTCAAGGTGAGAAAGGGCAATGCACGGTACCGAAGAGGCTAGCAATGGTGGAAAGGTAAAAGTGCGTATAATCCATGGACTCAACATTAGTCAAAAGAACTCATATACTTATTGCAAAAATTTAGAAGTCATCAAAAACCAAGTACTACACGCATGCTCCTAGGGGGATAGATTGGTAGGAAAAGACCATCGCTCGTCCCCGACCGCCACTCATAAGGATGCACAAGCCAGGTACACTTCATGTTTCAAATTTGTTACATAACTTTAACCATACGTGCATGCTACGGGACTTGCTAACTTCAACACAAGCATTCTTTAAATTCATAATCACCCAACTAGCATGACTTTAATATCACTACCTCCATATCTCAAAACAATTATCAAGTATCAAATTGATCATAGCATCCAATTCACTTCCTATGATAGTTTTTATTATACCCAAGTTGGATGCTCACCATTCTAGGACCAACTTTGTAACCATAGCAAATACCATGCTGTTCTAAAATACTCTCAAAATAATATAAGAAGCATGAGAGACTAGCAATTTCTTCAAAATTAAGATACCACCATGCTCTAAAAAAATATAAGTGAAGCACTAGAGCAAAAACTATCAAGCTCAAAAGATATAAGTGAAGCACATAGAGTATTCTAGCAAATTCTAATCAAATAGGCTTCTCCCAAAAAGTGTATACAGCAAGGATGATTGTGGTAAAAACTAAAAAGCAAAGACTAATATAATACATGACGCTCCAAGCAAAACACATATCATGTGGTGAATAAAAATATAGCTCCAAGTAAAGTTACCAATGAACGAAGACGAAAGAGGGGATGCCTTCCCGGGGCATCCCCAAGCTTAGGCTTTTGGCTATTCTTGAATATCTTGGGGTGCCTTTGGGGTGCCTTGGGCATCCCCAAGCTTAGGCTCTTGCCACTCTTTATTCCATATAGTCCATAAAAGCTTTACCCAAAACATGAAAACTTCACAACACAAAACTCAACAGGAAATCTTATAAGCTCCGTTAGTGAAAGAAAACAAAAACACCACATAAGGTAATGTAATGAACTCATTCTTTATTTATTTGGGTGTTAAACCTACTGTATTCCAACTTCCTTATGGTTTATAAACTAATTTATTAGCCATAGATGCATTGAAATAAGCAAACAACACACGAAAAACAGAATCTGTCAAAAACAGAACAGTCTGTAGAAATCTGTAACTAACGCAAACTTCTGGAACTCTAAATATCCTACCAAAATAAGAAGTACTGGAAATTTTTTTTAGTGAACATAAGCAAAAATAATCGATGCAAAAGCTCGTTTCTGTGATTTATTGAATTTTTTCTCGTGAGCGCAATGTTTCTGTTTTTCAGCAGAATCAAATCAACCATCATCATAGTTTATCCTATAGGTTCTACTTGGCACAGACACTAAACAAAAGATAAAAACACATCTAAACAGAAAGTAGAAACAAAATTTAACACTAAACAGGAACAAAAACAAAGAACATAAAGAAAATTGGGTTGCCTCCCAACTAGCGCTATCATTTAACGCCCCTAGCTAGGCATAAAAGCAAGGATAGATCTAACGAGTGCCATCTTTGGCACTTGATTCATAAGTAGCAAGAGAGGATCTCCTTTCTATGGCATTCATCCTTTTATTCAGGGTAAGAACATTGCCATTAATGGATGAAGTAAGATTAAGCATGTTACGGAAATTTGCATCTAAGCTAGACTTCATTTCTTTGATAATTTCATTTTGATAAAAGCACAAGAGAGTGGTTGATTCAACTTTATCATTTAAAGGGTGCCCAAATATGGTTTTCATTTTTTCATAGGTATCTATAGCATCCCCTTCAAGAAAACCTTCCTCAAAAATAGAATCTAGAACTTGTTGAAAGAAGCGGGCAAGCCAACATAGAAACTTTTTAAGTAAACATTAATTTGATATTGAGGCACATAGCTAGCCCTAATCCTGAATAACCTATCCCAAGCATCTTTTAAAGATTCATCAAACAAATAGCATAAATTCCGGAGTCATCTTCATCAAAATCATTTAAACTCTCATTGGTGACCCCGGTGGGTCTTTCCGTAGCATCATTGTTTATGAGCTTAGAGAGGATAGAGGGGTTATCCAAGGCACTAGAACTCGGGAGGAATCCCTTAGTTATTTTTGATTCGCCCATGGCAACGAGAAGGCAAACAGAAAAGAGAGGAGGAGATTGGAAAAGAGAGGGCAAATAAAACGGCAAGGGTGAAGTGGGGTAGAGGAAAACGAGAGGCAAATGGCAAATAATGTAAATGGGAGGGAGACAGGTTTGTGATAGGTACTTGGTATGTCTTGGCTTGAGCGAAGACCTCCCCAGCAACGACGCCAGAAATCCTTCTTACTATGTCTTGAGCTAGCGTTGGTTTTCCCCGAAGAGGAGAGGGTCATGCAGCAAGTGCAGCGTAAGTATTTCCCTCAGTTTTTGAGAACCAAGGTATCAATCCAGTAGGAGGCTCCTCAAAAGTCCCACGCGCCTACACAAACAAACTGAGAACTCGCAACCAACGCAATAAAGGGGTTGTCAATCCCTTCATGGCCACTTGCGAAAGTGATATCTGATAGAGATAGTATGATAAGATAAATATATTTTTGGTATTTTTATAATATAGATGCAAGAAAGTAAAGATGCAAATAAAAGTAGATTGAAAGCAAATATGATAAGAGATAGACCCGGGGGCCATATGTTTCACTAGAGGCTTCTCTCGAGAGCATAAGTATTATGGTGGGTGAACAAATTACTGTCGAGCAATTGATAGAAAAGCGCATAGTTATGAGATTATCTAGGCATGATCATGTATATAGGCATCACGTCCATAACAAGTAGTCCGACTCCTGCCTGCATCTACTACTATTACTCCACACATCGACCGCTATCCAGCATGCATCTAGAGTATTAAGTTCATAAGAACAGAGTAACGCATTAAGCAAGATGACATGATGTAGAGGGATAAACTCATGCAATATGATATAAACCCCATCTTGTTATCCTCGATGGCAATAATACAATACGTGTCTTGCAACCCTTTCTGTCACTGGGTAAGAACACCGCAAGATTGAACCCAAAGCTAAGCACTTCTCCCATGGCAAGAAAGATCAATCTAGTAGGCCAAACCAAACCGATAATTCGAAGAGACTTGCAAAGATAACTCAATCATACATAAAAGAATTCAGAGAAGATTCAATTAATATCCATAGATAAATCTGATCATAAACCCACAATTCACCGGATCTCGACAAACACACCGCAAAAAGAGATTACATCGAATAGATCTCCACAAGAGAGGGGGAGAACATTGTATTGAGATCCAAAAAGAGAGAAGAAGCCATCTAGCTAATAACTATGGACCCGTAGGTGTGTGGTAAACTACTCACAAGTCATAGGAGGGGCAAGGATGTTGATGTAGAGGCCCTCCATGGTCGATTCCCCCTCCGGCAGAGTGCCGGCGAAGGCTCCAAGATGGGATCTCGCGGATACAAAAGGTTACGGTGGTGGAAATTGTGTTTCGCGGTGCCCCTGGATGTTTTCGGGGTCCGTGGGTATATATAGGAGGAAGAGGTACGTCGGTGGATGCCTGAGGGGCCCACGAGACAGGGGGCGCGCCCTATAGGGGGGGGGGGCGCCCTCCTATCTCGTGGAGGCTCCGGTTGTTTCTTGACTTGCACTCCAAGCTCTTCGGATCTTGTTCGTTCCAAAAATCACATTCCCGAAGGTTTCATTCTGTTTGGACTCAGTTTGATATTCCTTTTCTTCGAAATACTGAAATAGGCAAAAAAAACCGGAATATGGGCTGGGCTTCCGGTTAGTAGGTTAGTCCCAAAAATGATAAAGATGTATAAAATAAAGCCCATAAACATCCAAAACAGGTAATATAATAGCATGAAACAATCAAAAATTATAGACACGTTGGAGACGTATCATGGGCTTCCCCTTGCAATCAAAGTTACTGCTAGTGTTGTAGAAACTAAAGAGAGAACTCATAATGAGTGGAGAAAGATTATGGAGAGAAGTGCATGGTCTATGTGCAATCTTCCAATCGAGCTCAGAAGTGCTCTACATTTGAGTTATGATGATCTGCCACGGCATTTGAAGCCATGCTTCCTCTGTTTGATCTTATACCCAGAAGATCAGTACATGTACCGAGATGATCTTATCAGGCTTTGGGTTGCTGAAGGCTTTGTTGAGGAGAAGAAGACCAACTTCTGGAGGATATAGCTGAATAATATTACTATGAGTTGATGTATAGGAATCTACTGCAACTAGAACCTTTACATTTTGACTATAGCATGTGCAAAATGCATGATCTATTGAGGCAACTTGCTCAACACTTGTCAAGAGACGAAAGTTATTGTGGTGACCTCCAATCATTAGAGGCTACAACCTTTTCCATACTACGCCGCGTTGAAGAGAAGAGGGAGAGACCGAGACTTCTCCGTTGATACAGCTACTGCCATGCCTGAAGAGGTTGGAGCTTCTTGGCTGCCCCAAGCTGGGAGCTCTACCATGACAGCTTGGACCGGAGGCCACCAACTTGAAAGAGCTCTTTATTTTTGGAGCAAGCTTCTTGAAGGCAATGGAGGATCTCCCTTTAATGGAGAGCTTCTTGATCTCAGGATGTCAAGTCCTGGAGAGGCTCTCGAACTTTCCTCAACTGAGGGAGCTACGCATTTTTAGTTTACCACAATCATCCTTGCTGTACAAACCTTTTGGGAGAGACATGCATGAATCGTGATTTATTAGAATACTCTATGTGCTTCACTTATATCTTTTGAGCTAGACAATATTGCTGTAGTGCTTCACTTATATCTTTTTAGAGCACGGCGGTGGTTTTATTTTATAGAAATTGTTGATCTCTCATGCTTCACTTATATTATTTTGAGAGTCTTTTAGAACAACATGGTAATTTTCTTTGGTTATAAAATTAGTCCTAATATGATGGGCATCCAAGATGGGTATAATGAAAACTTTCATATAAAGTGCATTGAATACTATGAGAAGTTTGATTCTTTATGATTGTTTTGAGATATGAAGATGGTGATATTAGAGTCATGCTAGTAGATTAGTTGTGAATTTGAGAGATACTTGTGTTAAAGTTTGTGATTCCCGTAGCATGCACGTATGGTGAACCGTTATGTGATGAAGTTGGAGCATGATTTACTTATTGATTGCCTTCCTTATGAGTGGCGATCGGGGACGAGCAATGGTATTTTCCTACCAATCTATCCACCTAGGAGCATGCGAGTAGTACTTCTTTTCGATAACTAATAAATTTTTGCAGTAAGTATGTGAGTTCTTTATGACTAATGTTGAGTCCATGGATTATACACACTCTCACACTTCCACCATTGCTAGCCTCTCTAGTACCGCGCAACTTTCGCCGGTACCATACACCCACCATATACCTTCCTCAAAACAGCCACCATACCTACCTATTATGGCATTTTCATAGCCATTCCGAGATATTTTGCCATGCAACTTTCCACCGTTCCATTTATTATGACACACTCCATCATTGTCATATTGCTTTGCATGATCATGTAGTTGACATCGTATTTGTGGCAAGCCACCGTTCATAATTTTTCATACATGTCACTCTTGAATCATTGCACATCCCGGTACACCACCGGAGGCATTCACATAGAGTCATATTTTGTTCTAAGTATCGAGTTGTAATTCTTGAGTTGTAAGTAAATTAAAGTGTGATGATCTTAATTATTAGATCATTGTCCCAGTGAGGAAAGGATGATGGAGACTATGATTTTCCCACAAGTCGGGATGAGACTCCGGACGAAATATATTATTTTTATTGTTCCATGATATTACATTATCTATTTTGGATGTTTAATGAGATTTCATATGATCTTTTATATTATTTTTGGGACTAACCTATTAACCGAAGGCCCGGTGCCAGTTTTTGTTTTTTTGCCCATTTTAGAGTTTTGCAGAAAAGGAATACCAAACGGAGTCCAAACGGAATGAAACCTTCGCGATGATCTTTCTTGGACCGAACACAAACCAGAAGACTTGGAGATGAAGTTGGAGATGTAACAAGGAGGCCACGAGGCAGGAGGGCGCGCCCAGGGGGTTAGGCGCGCCCCTCCCTCATGGCCCCCTCGTAGCTCCACCAACCTAGTTCTTTCGCCTATATATACTCTTACACCCTGAAAACATCAGGGGGAGCCACGAAACCACCTTTCCACCGCCGCTACCTTCTGTACCCGTGAGATCCCATCTTGGGGCTTTTTCCGATGATCCGCCGGAGGGGGATTCGATCATGGAGGGCTTCTACATCAACACCATTACCTCTCCGATGAAGCATAAGTAGTTTACCATAGACCTTCGGGCCCATAGTTATTAGCTAGATGGCTTCTTCTCTCTCTTTGATTCTCAATACAAAGTTCTGCTCGATGTTCTTGGAGATCTATTCGATGTAATGCACTTTTGCAGTGTGTTTGCCAAGATCCAATGAATTGTGGATTTATGATCAAGATTATCTATGAATATTATTTGGTTCTTCTCTGAATTCTTATATCCATGATTTGATATCTTTGCAAGTCTCTTCGAATTATCGGTTTAGTTTGGCCTACTAGATTGATCTTTCTTGCCACAAGAGAAGTGCTTAGCTTTGGGTTCAATCTTGCGGTGTCCTTTCCCAGTGACAGTAGGGGCAGCAAGGCACGTATTGTATTGTTACCATCGACGATAACAAGATGGGGTTTTCATCATATTGCTTGAGTTAATTCCTCTACATCATGTCATCTTCCTTAATGTGTTACTCCATTCTTTATGAACTTAATACTCAAGATGCATGCTGGATAGCAATCAATGTGTGGAGTAATGGTAGTAGATGCAGGCAGGAGTTGGTCTACTTGACACGGACGTGATGCCTATGTTCATGATCATTGCCTTAGATGTCATCATAATTATGCTCTTTTCTATCAATTGCTCAGCAGTAATTTGTTCACCCACCGTAATACATGCTATCTCGAGAGAAGCCACTAGTGAAACCTATGCCCCCGGGTCCCTTTTCCATATTATTGAATCTTTACATCTTGCTAGTTTCCGATCTACTATTTTACAATCTTTACTTTCCAATCTATACACCAAAAGTACCAAAAAATATTTACTTTATTATCTCTACCAGATCTCACTTTTGCGAGTGACCGTGAAGGGATTGACAACCCCTTTATCGTGTTGGTTGCAAGTTCTTGATTGTTTGTGCAGGTATTCGGTGACTTGTGCATCGTCTCCTACTGGATTGATATCTTGGTTCTCAAAACTGAGGGAAATACTTACGCTACTTTGCTGCATCACCCTTTCCTCTTCAAGGGAAAACCAATGCAAGCTCAAGAGGTAGCAACACACAGGTCATACAATAACTAAAAACAACCCTATAGCTCCTGCCGGTTGCCGTATGCATCGACATGCAAGTTGATATAAACTATTACAAACATGACCATCTCATACATCAAATATATCTCATCATGTCTTTGGCCATATCATATCACAACATACCCTGCAAAAACAAGTTAGACTTCCTCTAATTGTCGTTGCATGTTTTACGTGGATGCTATGGGTATCTAGCAAGAACGATTCTTACCTATGCAAAGCCACAAGGTGATATGCCAGTTGCTATTTAACCTTCTACAAGGACTGCCTTTGTAGAATCCGATTCAACTAAGGTGGGAGAGAGAAACACCCGCCAGCCATCTTTATGCAACAAAGTCACATGTCTATCGATGGAACCGGTCTCATGTACATGGACATGTAAGGTTGGTCCGGGCCGCTTCATCCCACAATACCGCCGAATCAGGAAAAGACCAAGGAAGGACGCAATCTGAATATCAATAATGCCCACAAACTCCTTTGTGTTCTAATCATGATGTCATCTACACATAGACCTAGCTCTGATACCACTATTGGGGAACGTGGCATGGGAAAATAATCCTACGCTCACCAAGATCCAATCTAGGAGATGACCATCTACGAGAGGAGAGATTTCATCTACATACCCTTGTAGACCGCTAAGCAGAAGCATTAAGAAATGTGGTTGATGTAGTCGAACATCTTCGCGATCCAATCACGATCTGTCCCGTGAACTTCCGATCCAAGTGTCGAACGGACGGCACTGGTGCCTGCTTGAACTACGTCAGTATTTCCCCAAAGAGGAAGGGTTGATGCAGCACAGCGACAGTTGGTATTTCCCTCAGCGATGAGACCAAGGTTATCGAACCGTTAGGAGAACCAAGCAACACAACGTAAACAACCCCTGCACACAAATAACAAATACTCACAACCTGACGTGTTAAAGGGGTTGTCAATCCCTTCCGGGTAAGGATGCCTCGAATTGGCAAGAAGACATGATAAAGTTGTGATAGATAGGATAAATAGATCATAAAATAAATAAAGTGCAACAATTTATTTTTGTATTTTTGGTTTAATGGAATTTAAAATAAAAGCAAAGAAAAATAGATCGCAAAGGCAAATATGATGAGAAGAGACCCGGGGACCGTAGGTTTCAATAGTGGCTTCTCTCAAGAAAAATAGCAAATGGTGGGAAAACAATTACTGATGGGCAATTGATAGAACTTCAAATAATCATGACGATATCCAGGCAATGATCATTATATAGGCATCACGTCCAAGATTAGTAGACCGACTCCTGCCTGCATCTACTACTATTACTCCACACATCAACCGCTATCCAGCATGCATTTAGTGTATTAAGTTCATGAAAAAATAGAGTAATGCAATAAGAACGATGACATGATGTAGACAAGATCTATTTATGTAGAAATAGAACCCATCTTGTTATCCTTAATAACAACGATACATACATGCCATTTCCCCTTCTGTCACTAGGATCAAGCACCGTAAGATCGAACCCATCACAAAGCACCTCTCCCCATTGCAAGATAAATAGATCAAGTTGGCCAAACAAAACCCAAATATCGGAGAAGAAATATGAGGCTATAATCAATCATGCATATAAGAGATCAAAGAAGACTCAAATAACTTTAATGGATAAAAACATAGATCTGATCATAAACTCAAAGTTCACCAGATCCCAAAAAACACACCGCAAAAAGACTTACATCATATCGATCTCCAAGAGACCATTGCATTGATAATCAAGAGAGAGAGAGAGAGGAAGCTATCTAGCTACTAACTACGGACCCATAGGTCTACAAAGAACTACTCACGCATCGTCGGAG